CCCTATCACTGCATTTGTTTTCTCACATCTTCTGATGACTTTTCCCTTTAATTTATCATTCTACATACCCTCTTGCTTCAACTGAGATTGTACCCATAATAGTATCTCTCCTCGCTTACGTTTTGAGGTCTGTGTTTTCCCTTTCTTTAGTCTTACCTCAGTTTCGTTTCTAGGGTTTACTTAATCTGGTTTCGAATTGGACTCTCAGGGTTCTCTTTCATTTTGGGTTTGTTGTTAAAGCCAAGCCAACATTGAATCAAATCTCTTCCGTTACTTGTTTAGTTTGAAATGGTTCTTAGCTTAAGAAACTAATGTCACCTTGATGATTAGTGCTCAAAGTCTTCAACTTTCTGGGTTGAGAAATATGAAATTGTTTGTTCAAGTTTCATGAATTCGAAGATTAGTAGTGCTCAAAGTTTTCAACTTTCTGGGTTTGAGAAATGAAAATTGTTTGAAATTTCAGGAATCTTGAATTTGATTAGATGGGGAATTGTTGTGGCAGTCCGAGTTCGGCTACTAGCGAGAGTAAACAAGGGAAACCCAAGAACAAAAACAATCCTTTTCACAGCAACGAGTACACAACAACGAATAGATCTGGAGCTGGATTTAAGCTCTGTGTGTTGAAAGATCCTACAGGACATGACATTTCCTTGCAGTATGATCTAGGACGCGAGGTTGGTCGAGGAGAGTTTGGTATAACTTACTTGTGTACTGATATCAAAACAGGCGAAAAGTATGCGTGCAAGTCCATATTGAAGAAGAAGCTGAGAACAGCAGTGGATATAGAGGATGTGAGAAGGGAGGTTGAGATAATGAAGCATATGCCTAAACATCCGAATATCGTCTCTTTGAAGGATTCATTTGAGGATGATGATGCAGTGCATATAGTTATGGAGTTGTGTGAGGGAGGAGAGCTCTTTGATCGGATTGTCGCAAGAGGTCATTACACTGAGCGTGCTGCTGCTGCGGTTATGAAGACTATTGTTGAAGTTGTTCAGGTTTAGTGTAGCTGTGTTCTTAACATTTGTCTGAAATTCCTAATTTTGTTTGTCAATGTTTTTGTTCACACATCCCTTGTGTTTGTCTTTACAGATATGCCATAAGCAGGGAGTGATGCATCGGGATCTTAAACCGGAGAACTTTCTTTTTGCAAATAAGAAAGAGACATCACCCCTTAAGGCCATTGATTTTGGATTATCTGTCTTCTTCAAACCTGGTACATATTATAATATCAGATCTTGATGAGTATACTATCAATGGAGCACATGTATTAGTGTATTTTTACTTTACCTGAATTTGCAAAACTATAACAGGTGAACAATTTAATGAGATTGTTGGAAGTCCTTATTACATGGCACCCGAGGTTCTGCGACGAAACTATGGACCAGAGATCGATGTCTGGAGTGCAGGAGTCATACTCTATATCCTGCTTTGTGGTGTCCCACCATTTTGGGCAGGTCTGTATATGCTTTACTGTATACTCTTTGTTTCCTCTGGAGATATTCACTTAAGACCTCATTTAGACGTTTATGTTTATTTGTGGTACAGAGACTGAACAAGGGGTGGCTCAAGCAATCATTAGGTCAGTAATTGACTTTAAGAGAGATCCATGGCCAAGAGTTTCTGACAGCGCCAAAGACCTTGTGAGAAAGATGCTTGAACCAGATCCAAAAAAACGGCTTTCTGCTGCAGAAGTACTCGGTAGGCTTTCGGGCTTTAGCTCTGATTTTTCCGATGGATACTTTGAAATCGTATACTCATAAAGAAATATTCTATTTTTAGAACATTCTTGGATCCTGAATGCAAAGAAGGCTCCAAATGTCTCTCTTGGGGAGACTGTGAAAGCAAGGCTCAAGCAGTTCTCTGTTATGAACAAGCTCAAGAAACGAGCTCTACGAGTACTTATTCTGTTAAACCATGCCACTGATTATCGATCTGCTTCCAGTCTGATTCAGAAGCAACAAAATAAATAATGAAAACTTGTTTTCCTCTTCTAGGTGATAGCTGAGCACTTGTCAGTGGAGGAAGCAGCCGGGATAAAGGAAGCATTTGAAATGATGGATGTGAATAAGAGAGGCAAGATAAACCTCGAGGAGCTTAAATATGGACTTCAAAAAGCTGGACAACAGATAGCTGATGCTGATCTTCAGATTCTTATGGAAGCTGTATGAATTTTTCAATACTGAAGTGATAAGCTCGAAACATGTGCTATTATCACTTGTGAGAATTGAAACTCTTTTGCTTTCCCCGCAGACTGATGTTGATGGGGATGGGACGCTGAACTATGGCGAGTTTGTGGCTGTTTCGGTGCACCTGAAGAAGATGGCGAATGATGAACACTTGCATAAAGCTTTTAACTTCTTTGATCAGAACCAGAGTGGTTACATAGAGATTGAAGAACTCCGTGAAGCCTTGAATGATGAATTGGATGATACTAGTAGTGAGGAAGTTATAGCTGCCATTATGCAAGATGTTGATACCGACAAGGTAACCACAAAAAAAAAAGGATAAGATCTTTTCACATTTCGTTAATCTGTAAATTCTTTGGAAACTTGTTAAAAGGGTATTATTTCATAATTCTGCATTCATGAATTCTCCACTCGTTTTGAGATGATAAAGAACATATCTTTGGTTCCTCTGATCAGGACGGTCGTATAAGCTACGAAGAGTTTGCTGCGATGATGAAAGCTGGGACAGATTGGAGAAAAGCGTCGAGGCAGTATTCCCGGGAAAGATTCAACAGTTTGAGCCTCAAGTTAATGAGAGATGGTTCATTGCAATTAGCAGGAGAGACATAAGAAGCAAAGAAAAGATTGGATTTTCTTTTTTTGAAGGGCACACACAGGACACAAGACAGAAGAAGAAGCAGAGGAAAAGGTCAGTGTTGATGATGACAAATTGTCAAAAAAGACATAATTATGTTATAAGAAAAAAAGCGTTTAACACGGTAATGATAGAAAGATTTGGTATTTGTTTTGCCTTTTTTTCCTTTGCCACACACCTGCTGCTTTTGATAGGGTTTCAAATTGTTTAGAACTTTTCCTTTCAATAGAGCTCGGATGTGATGAGTGTCAAGAAGTTTCTGAGTTTCCAAGATGAGTTTGTGCTATCTCTATTTTAAATAATTGTTGTATAACACAAGATGAGTTTCTTGAAAAGAATAATATTCCACAATTGGTACTACGTGTAAAGAAAAGTCGGAGAAAACAAGAAATTGCAAAAGAAACAAAAAAAAACACGAATTTGTGTAATAAGCAAAGCTCTGGTGCAAGGGACACCACTTAGATTCCATCATGAGGCCCACCAAAGAGAGCAAAAACCCTTAAAAGATTCCATCTTTTTTATTTATCGCTGACTCTCCACTGCTCTCAATCGCCTACCTTC